CTTCCTGGACTGATGAGAGCTTTGAGCATGGGCTTGGAAGTTGAGCTGCTGTATTAGTTTATTTGAGCTATAGACTCCCCCTCTTTTGCCTCTTCCCTGCTATCTTAGTCTCCTTCCTAATACAAGAAGGCTTCTTCTGGCCTGGCCTGCTTCTGTGAGAGTAAGGGGATGAAATACATGTGGAAGCCAGATACAGTTTGGAGTCTGTGGCAATAGATGGGATTCTCATAGTGATCATGTGACTGGCTCATTTTTATTGCTGCTAATCTCAGAGAGATGACCCAAAACATCTTTGCAATTAAAACTTAGCTGTGCACACTTTCCCAAAAGGGAAAAGGGTTGCTGACTTACGCCATGCTTTGTCGGTGTGCGCTAATCAAATGACAAAGCATGGACTCTTCCCACACTGGATAACTGTAGTTTCCTTCCTAGAACAGGAATAGTCTTCCTGGAGGAACTGGAACATTAGCTGTCTTTTCAGCACTCCAGGGGCATAATGAATGCAATTAACACTTACCCAAGGTGGAAACACAATTGGAAGCTGCCCATGGCTGTTCTCTGAAAAATCCAGGGGCTAGGCTCAGCCTTCTAGGAGCAAAAGCCATTTCATTATGTATTTCCATGTGGAAAATCCACAGTCTTCAGAGTCTGATTCAATAAAATTTCAGTGTGTGATGTTTTTCTTACTCTTCCTTTCTGCTTCATTTTTAAGGTACAAGTGGTGGAACTAAAGGTTACTTGGATCACTAAAAGTTTCTGTCCTGGAGGTACTGACAGTGTAAGTCCCCCACCTTCAGTAATCACGCAGGAGAACTTATCCAGGTGAGATCTGCTTAAAGTACCCATGTATCCTACCCCACTAAGGTGTCAGGACAGCCAAAGGGTAATATGCCCTTCTCCCAGCAGATGGACATAAATCCAACTTTGGTATCAGCACCCTCAGGAAAGAGAATGGCTAGTGAAAGCACATGGGGGGGCATCAACTAACTGTCTAGTGTAGGTTTTTCGTTTAACGTTAGAAGAGCTAACATCACAAGCTCTCCTCTGCTAGAAGTGCTCCCCAGCTGAAGAGCTGGGAGTAAGCTGCGAGTTAAGACAGCCAGCTTTCTCTTAACCTCCCTCATTCAGTTACAGTGAATTGTACCTTTGAAACCTGCAAATGTGAGCACTGTTTCAGCAGTGGGAGGGGACGGCAACTAACATTGCTTCAAGGGACTGGGCTAGTGTTGAAGAGCATCTGATGCCCCCTGCAGGCCGCAAGGGATATGTGTGTTAGCCACAAAATAATTAGGTTGAAGTGAGGAGAGAAGGTAGGTGAGTTTTGAAACTCAGGACAGAGCAGTGCCATCCCATCTGAAGCTATAAAGGAGTTTCAGAAGCAGGAGTTCTCAGACTATTGAAAACACAAATAATGTTTTGTTTATTTGAGGCTATTTTTAATTCTCTGTGGGAGGTTGACAAGAGTAACTAGTCCTTGTATGTAGAGGAGGTGGTAGTGACCTCCCAGTTCCCAGGTGGCTAGGAAATACTCTAGCTCTTCCCGTGTGTGTGTGCGTGCGTGCGTCTGTCTGACCGACCGACTGACCGAAGGAACTCTAGTCTCCTGGAAAACATAAGTTGTAAGGCAAAATTGGTCTCATTTTAATCGGTGCCACCCACATTGACCTTGCATACGTCCACGTGTGTACAGGACTGTTGTACAGCAGCACATGTACCATGGAGAAGTAGTAATCATCACTGGGATGTTTGTTGTCTCTTGCTCAGAGGCTTATGTCAGCCACCATTGGGGAGATGACTGTTTTCATCTTCTCACTCTTAACAGAGTAAAACGTCTTGGGTGCTTCGACCATGCACAGAGGCAGCTTGGGGAAAGATGCCTCTACGTATTTCCTGCCAAAGTGGAACCTGCAAAAATCACTTGTGAATGCCCAGAGAGAAACTGTGTTCTGGGGGAAGGATCAGTCGCCAAGAAGGTGTGTTCCCAAGAAAGTGAGGGGCTAGCTTAGCTGGGACTGAGAGGTGGGTGGTCGGATGTCTTGAGTTTCAAACACATCTACTTGAGTGGTTGGGATTAATGGAGCCTGGATTTTAAATGCTCCTTTTACATCTTAAATCTTCTAGTAAAAGCTATATGGTATGAAATGTGACCCAGCACAGTATAATGGCTCATCAGTGCTTGCAGTCATGTCACTTTGTGCAATGAACTTGTCATCTAGAGCTAAGCAGATTTGGGCTGGATCAGTATTTAGATGAGACTTGCTGCAGGAAGCAGGGTTAGCCATACAGTTGGTGGCATTCTTTTCTTTGCATCATTGCAGAGCCAATGCCGTAGCGAGGTGCCAGCGGGCCACTGTGGTGTTAGAGGTGCCATCATTCACTATTAAAGAACCCATATTTTGCATAACTGTAGGGATGTTAAACTTGTTTTCCTAGCAGAATCTTCCTTTGTTCACTTATATCTCCACTACAGTAACAGATTGGGAAAAGCATTCATTTGCTGTGCTGGGCCTTATTTGTTGTCAAACAACTAAGTGCCACGAACCACCCCAGGGTAGCTGCATTTCAGTGGCAAGGAGGTGAAGCGTCTGTATAGCTTTGTACATTCCATTTAGTTAATTTTGTAAAGTGTCTTGGGATCTATCATAATAAAAGGCACTGTATAAATTGAATATAGTTTTGTTAGTCATTGGACTGGGATTTCCACCTGGACCTTTGCATAGTCTTGCCAAAAGTTAATTACCCAGTGGCCTAGCCAACATCCCCTCCTCTTTGTAAAACAATTTATAGTCTTCATGGCTGCTCGTGGCTGCACGTGCCACTGGCTGCTGCCTTTGCTAGCACAGTAAGTCCATTAGCAAGATCTCATTGTTTTGTGAAATGCTCAGAGTGGTGGAGTGTGGAAAGGGCCAAAGAGGCACACAGTCTATTCTGTACATATCCCCCCATTGACTACTTGGTGTGTTTGCTTTGTGCACAGGCACCCAAACTCCTGTTTATTTACTGACCAGCATTGCTTTCCCTAGGTGAGGAGATTGCTAAAAAAGCAGATTGTGAAGATCATGTCATGCACACCAGACTCTCAGGGTACCAGTGAACTGCCCGATGGAGAGTCCGCTACAGCTGCTGACCAAAAATTGGAAGAGCTTAAAACCAGAGCCAGATGTGAACTAGAGGACTCTGCCAATGGCACGCTAAGCCTGGGGGAGACAAAAGAGGAGCAGCCTGAAGAAATGAGAAAAGAGACTTCCTGCGAAGCAGCTGAGCGACGACAGCAACCCCCCTTTCTACTGAAAGATGATGGGTCGTCTGACTACAGGCTCCAGTCAATGGAACAGGATGCTGATGACGAGGCAGCTGATGACACAGATGACACCAGTTCTGTGACTTCTTCAGCTAGTTCCACTGCCTCTTCCCAGAGTGGCAGCGGCATTGGGCGCAAGAAGAGTATTCCCCTCTCCATCAAAAACTTGAAGCGGAAGCACAAGAAGAAGAAAACAAAGATTTCCAGGGAGTTTAAGCCAGGAGACAGGTAGGTTCAGATTTCTGTTCCTGGCTAATCACCTTGCTAAAGCTTCCCTGCCTGAATTCTCAAATGCAAACCCAAGTTCGGGTAAGCATGGAGCTCTGGCTGAGCTGCCTTTTGCATGTTGCAGGAAAGCACCACTCCATAACTAAACCTTGTTAGTTCTGGTAGTGTCCAATGCCTTTGTGAAATGTTTGGCCTCAGTCCATCTCCCGATGGAAATGCGGCCTCATCACCTTAACCCAATGCAGTAGTGTCTAGAGGCCCTAACTAACTCAGGTGCCCGTGGTACCTGGTTCAGTGCATACAGAGAGGAAGAGATGATACTGCTCCAAAGAACTTCATCTAAATACATTAATTTATGCCCTCATTGGCACTTCAGCTAAGAGGCCATTGATTCTTCAGTGGTCCCTCCAGAAGGACATTGTTGGGGGGCTGTGGAGGAGTCTGCAATGTCTTGGCCCGTCGTGTACTTGTCCCGCCATCTCAGGACTGTTGAATTAGCATCTTTCACCAGTACCAAATTCATATACAAATTTTAATTCAGCTTGAGTGGGGAAATAAGTCTGTTGGCATCCAGGGAGTTAGCATAGCCCATGCTTCAAATGCCCATTTTTGGCAGTCAATGTAGATAATTAGATGAGACTCTTCTCAGAGGGGAGTAAATGAACTGTGAGAATGAGGGCAATATTGTGTACTTCAGTCACTGCTCATTTGATTATCTCCATTTGCTTCAGTATAAGTGAAGCTTGGAATCCTTTCCCAAAGCCTGGGAGAAGCATTCAAAAGCATTAGTGCTCAGGGGAGCGATGTTAAAGTAGGAAAGGTGAAAGGGATGCACCAGAAAAAGTAGGGTGTTTTGGAAACAGCATCCATAAGTGTAGCCTCTACGTCCCTCGCACACCCAACTTCTGTCTTTCTAGTGTAGCTGAAGGGAGTCCCAGATGGGCTGCATTGATAGCCAACACGAAGAAATCAGTGGATAGGAACCTGTTTTTACCTAAGCTGTGGAGAGATGGCTCTGTTGGATGGAAAACAGATAAAATGTAGTCCTTGGGGCTCTTTAAAGACATGACATTGCTACAAGGAGAGTGTAAAATGTTACTTTTTTTTAAAGAACATAAAACCCCAGATGGCACTTAAAGGGGTTATATGGCAGCTGGTCATTAACCACCATGAAATGCCCTGAGTGTCTTCTTATTGCTTGAATAACCAGACAGAAACCTGATGAGACTTTGTAGGCACAGCAGCTGAAATGCTGTTGACAAGAGGGAAGTGAATGGACCGTACATGTTGAATGGGCTTGATGCCATGTTGAATTGGCTTGATGCAGCTGAAAGTATCAGATTTGAGATCAGCCACATGGGCGCCTCCGAACTACATGAAAGCAGCACATCATGTTGCTTTAGCTTAGGCCTGGTCTATACTAGGGGTTTAGGTCAAACTTATCCCTATTAGGTCAATTTTTCTAAACGAGTCCATAACATCAAGCCCATTCCATCAACTTCAAGGACCATTAAAGTCAGTTTCTGTATTCGTGCTTTCATGAGGAGTAACCACTAAATTCGATCTTGCATGGTCAACTTTAATGCAGATGCAGTGCTTTGAAAGTCGACATTCTTGGCCTCTGGGAGATGCCCCACAATGACCATTCAGGCCACGACTTTCAACTCTTCTGCTGTCCAAGTGACCAGGAAAAGCCCCAGCAAAATCTGAATTTCATTTCCTGTGTGGCCAGTGTGGCAAGCAGACCTCAGAGCAGGCAGCACATGTGACTGAGTTCCCAGGTTCACAGACAAGCATCAGCATAGAGCATGCAGGAGATCCTGGTCCTCATTGCTGTGTGGGGAGTGGAAGCTTTTCTCTCAGAACTATGAACCAGCAAAAGAAACACAAATATCTATGCCAAGATTGCAAAGGGAATGAAGGAGAGAGGATATGCCAGGGATGCCCAGCAGTGCTGAGTGAAAATAAGGGAGCTGAGGCAGTTGTACCAAAACAAAATGGAGGCAAATGGATAATCTGGTGTATCGCCGTGAACATTCACTTCTATGAGCAGCTGCATGCAGTCTGGAGGGGGGACCCGAACAGCTTCCTTAGCCAGTCTGTGGATTCCTCCCAACACCACTCAGGCAGCAGCATGGAGGGACGGCATGGTGATGGAGGAGAATGGTCACAGGCCAGTGGGGCAGCGGAGGTCACCAAGAGTCAAGAACTTTTTATAACCTTGGAGACTATCTCCTCCTCCCAGGACATCTCACAATCAGGCACTGATCCCAGGGAGGGCACTTCTGGTGAGCTGACATTTTTTTAATCTATCTTAAAGTGGGTTAAAGTAATTGGGTATGATTTGTGGTGGCCACTGTGCCTACACAGTTGGAGGGGGCGGGTGGAAAAGCTTGTTTAATGTGCCTGGAGATGGAGCAGGAATCCTCCCAGCACATTTCCATAAAGCTCTGAGTTAGGAACTCTTTCATCCTTCTCACAAGGTTCCTGGGGAGACCTGCCTTATTCTATCCTCCATGGTAGGACACCTTCCCACGCCAAGCCAGCAGTAAGTGGTCTGGCGTCATTGCAGCACAAAGCAGTGCAGCATAAAGTTCAGATTTCTGTCCACATTCACTCAACATCTGCTCCATCACTGTGTGATTCAGAGAAGACTGATATCTCTCCTGACAACCTGGATGAAGCAAGGGAAGCTATTAGCTGATGCCTCCACAGTAAACCTCTGTTTGCTCATCCCCAAAGAAGCATGGCTTGGGCCCCTACCCTGCCGCCATGCCAGGAACCCCTCCTGCCTACCCACTCCTGAGGGAAGGGAAAGTTGCACTCTCCCAGCAAACGGGGTGCCGAACAGATGGTCACTGCGTAAGCTGCTGCCCCGCTCTGCCGTCATGCCCGGACCCCCTCCCACTGATAGCCTCAGGCCTGTCTCTTACCATGCCTTCCATCAAACAGTCCAGCTGCTCTCTTAAGAACTCTGCGATGTTCAGCTCAGCTGCATAGTGGCTGCTTAAAAGCATAACTCTGGCCTTGTCCGTAACATGTCCCTCTTGTCTTTAGATAGACCTTCATTTTATTCTAACAGATTAGGTTTTGTGCTCTACAGTGCATCTCCTGTAAAGTCTGCCCTTCACTTTAGGTTACAGCAAGAACAGCAGCAAGCCTGCTGTGTGCTCCCCTGGCCCCACCAACTGTCCACCTGGCACAAATCCACAGGCAAAAATGGACTAGGGAAAAGGTGTTCAAGGGGCAAATGCAATCTGACAGCTTGGAGAGGAAGTGCGTGAGTGAGTGGAGGGATACACTGCTGGAGGAGACGCGAGCAGAGCGTGCGGAAAGGAGACGCGTGCAGGGAACTGGAAGTGAAGCACCAGGAGAGTCTTGTCCAAGGCCATGTGAAGGATGGCATGTGCTTTCCAGGACACCAGGATGAACAGGCACCTCCTCCATTCCGTGTGGATCAGCGTTACCTCCTTACCAACTTCCATAGTCCAGGGGCCCTAGAACACATCCCAAGACGGGATGGTGGGGAGTAAAAGACAGCTTCACACTCAACTCCAGTGGTGTGTCACAAAGCAAAAGTCAGTTGTGATCGCACATGCGCCCTGAAGCTTCCACCCTGGACTCCTTTTCTGTCCCTTCTATGTTCCCTTAATAAAAATGCATGATTTCTGAACAGCATGATTTCTTTGTTGCTTTTGTCGATGGGGCGGATGGTTACAGGCAAGCACGCTGAATGCAGGAGCAACATGCATGACTCTCAAAACTGGCCACTCATAAAACTCTTTCAAAGCCTCTCTGATTTGCACTGCTCCTTCACCATGCTCTCCTTATTGCCTTGGTTTCTGGCTGCTCAAAATCCCTGGCTAGGCCATCTACCTTGTCCCCTCACCCTGCCAGAGACCTTTTCCCCTTACTCACAAGTATTATGGAGCACACAGCAGGCTGCTGCCACAATGGAATGTTGCATTCACCAAGGTCTAACCTAGTTATTAGACTGTAGAACCTTCTATTTAAATACCCAAAAGCACATTCTACCACCATTCTGCACTTGCTCAGCCTGTAGTTGAACTGCTGCTTACAGCGGTCCAGGCTGCCTGTGTATGGCTTCATGAGTCATGAGAGCAAAGGGGTAGGCCGGGTCGCCAAGGATTGCTATTGGCATTTCATCACCTCAAATGGCAATTTTCTGTTCTTGGAAAAGAGTAGCAGCTTGCTGAAGAGTCAGAAGTTCCTAAAGATGTGCAAGTCATGCACCTTTCCAGACCATCCCACGTTGATATTGGTGAAATGGCCTTTGTGATCCATCAGCCCCTGCAGCACTTTTGAGAAGTACCCCTTGTGATACCTCCCACAAAGGAAGTATCCCCTCCTTTGCAAGGTGGTCATGTTCCAAGATGGGCTAAGCCTCAGTCAGCAACAGCACAGAAGTAGGGATGTTATGGTATGGTATTGCCACCTTTACTTCTGCACTGCTGCTTCCGAGCTGGGTGCCTAGCCAACAGCTGCTGCTCTACGTCCATTCAGCTCTGAAGGCAGTAGCACAGTAGTAAGGGTGGCAATATCGTAACCCCTCCTAAAATAATCTTGACACTCCCACAACTTCCTTTTGGGTCAGGACCCCCAGTTTGAGAAACACTGGTCTGCCTCATGAAATCTGTATAGCATAAAAAACATAAGACCAGATTTCATGGTCTGATGTGTTTTTCATGGCCTTAAATTTGGTAGGGCCCTAATGATAAACCTCCCTTTTAACACTGACCTTCCAACTTCCCCATAAAGAAACAAGTCCCCCGATATATTACATGCCACATCTTCTCCTCATGTTAGAATTTTTCTGAGTTCTCCTGTTGATGTTCTTTAAAAAAAGGAAATTTTTATTTTATTTTATTTATTTATTATTTTTGCTTCAAAATGGCTTGGCCTACAATCTCCACACTTGTATTAGCCATACACATTTGTCAGAAAAATAGCATGTGATTGGGTGTAGCCTGCGGTATGGAGGCATAGATAGAATTAATTATGGGTTGGTTGAAATGGTGCTATAAAAAGATGCCGTACCACTTCTCCTGGGGAGGGGGAGGGGGGGAAGAAGAGGAATCCAGCAGCAAAGAGGAACTGGGAAACTGCCCATCTTTCTGTATTCCTTGCAAGAGATTTTGTAAGTTAAATATGAATAAACTAATCTCAACAATTTGTCCAAAAGGATACTACTGATACAGAGCAAAATGGGGGTAGAGTTACAGTTGGATGGTCACTCTGATGGGATGATTTAGTGATTCTCTAGGGCAATGGGGATTTGGCTGGATCCCTTAATTGTTCACTTTCAGGGGCTCACTAATGTTTGCTGGGGGAAGATTAACCTATAGAATTCTTAGGAAGTGGAACTTCTGGGTATGTTGATTGATCCTATTAAAACTTGCTTTTGTTCTTAATTTTTCAACAAAGGATTTGGTTAGGGAGTATTAAACATAAATATCCAGTGGCTTGGACCCAGATTAATGTTTTTATATAGTCCATAGCAGAAGTACCTTGGCACCATTGGTATATAGATTCTACTAACTTGACCCAAATCGGGAATGCCTCTGGTTTGTTCAGTGTGATTCTTTGTATGTGCATCTATGGCTATATACGAATGTATGAAAATTGCACTGTAGCAAATACTACTTCATTGGCAGTGGGAAGGTTGCGTGATTAGGGGGTTTAAAAATGAGGGAGCAGGAAGATTGAGACCCACATGTCAAAAGCAGAATTATTCTGAACCTGGGTTTGTATTTGTTCAGTAGAGGTGATTTGTATGTGAAAAGGGACAAGAAGTAAAGGTTTTGTTGTCATTAAGCTGAACAGCCTTCTGACTTTCAAAGGAAGGGGCAGTGTCAAACCTCTCTTAAAGGGCAGCGATATAATGTGGGGTTTTATTCGTCCTTTTCATCTCCATGGTCCCAACTTCAAAGATTTCTCAGAACTTTCAGCAGGGCGCCGGATAGAAGGCACTTCAAGCCTTTGAAACCTAAGATTTTTTTTCCCTACTAAATTCCCCCATCTCACCCCTCTGTCAGTCAAGTGCAGCTTCATGTGTTCTAGTATCCCCCTAAGTTTGCTCCTGCAAGAGTGAAATGAATATGGCATTGCCTTCCTGAAATGCGACTTACAAAGGAAAATAAGTTGTCACTTGAGACTTGTGGTGACTGAAAGTCTGTCCCTTGATGGGCCTACAGACATCTGACCTGGGTACTAGTTTTTGACCTTTACAACCCAATCAATTTACCGGGTGCCAGATGTGAAACATGGGTGTCCATTAGAACTTGAGTGTTTGGCAGCTCAATTTTTCTAATTTTGGTCTGTGCATTTAGCTTTGGCTCCTGTTATTGGGGAAAGTCCCCAAAATGGGTGACGTAAGTTGGTAAAAGGGACTACTTTATTCTTTTCTGCTCTCCCCGGGCAGCAGCCTCACTGAGCACTGTCTTTTATGTTCAGAGTTGCAGTAGAAGTGGTGACCACAATGACGTCGGCAGATGTGATGTGGCAGGATGGCACGGTGGAGACCAACATTCGTTCCAATGAGTTGTTTCCAGTCCACCATCTGGATAACAATGAGTTTTGCCCTGGGGACTTTGTGGTGGACAAAAGAGGTACTGGGTGAAAAATATGCTCTGGGAGGGAGTGCAGATCATCCTTTTAATTGCATGCAATACGAATGCTTTGCAATTGTCCATTTTATTTGGACTTTTAAAATGTGCAATGGAGTTGGAGGTGCCTCAGCAGTTAAAATCAGTAACGCCCAAGAAAACCAAGGATTTCAGTCTGTTCCCAAAGTGCTTTCCAGATACTAATGAGTGTTGCCTCACATCCCCTTTGGGAGGCAGGCAAAGTAGTGTCCATGTTCTGCAGATGGCCCTGAGCTTAAGTGACCTTGCCCAAAGGCACAGACAGAGTCAGTCGTAGAGGTGGAACCAGAACTAAGGATATTAAGGAGCGGCTGTTTGGCTAATCGTGTAGTTGATACAATTTGTATCGATGGCACAATTAGTCTATAAGGGGAGGCACTCTGCAGAGCCGCAGCGGGGGTAGCTCCTGGAGTTGGCATGAGCTGGGCCTGAGTAGTCCTGGACATGAGCTGGCTCTGGAACCACTACGGCTCTGCCTCCCCTGCACCCCCATACACCATGAAGATGGTGCTTGGGAGAACCAGCTTTTAAGCTGGCTCCCACCCCCCAGTGGCACAATTAGTCTATAAGGGGAGGCACTCTGCAGAGCCGCAGCGGGGGTAGCTCCTGGAGTTGGCATGAGCTGGGCCTGAGTAGTCCTGGACATGAGCTGGCTCTGGAACCACTACGGCTCTGCCTCCCCTGCACCCCCATACACCATGAAGATGGTGCTTGGGAGAACCAGCTTTTAAGCTGGCTCCCACCCCCCAG